GTTAGAGACTTGAAAGCACCATAATCACCCTGCCAAGGGAGTTTATGGCCGTAAACTCCAAGGGAAAAGGGTCTTTGGGCCGTAAACTCCCCAAAGGAGTCAATATGGTGCCCAAACACTTGTATAGGCCTTGAAACAATTCCCACTAAGGTTGTAGTAATTGAAAGTACCATCCCAAGCCTTGGTTGGAGTTTACGGCCAGGAGCTTACTCTCTTGGGCCGTAAACTCCAATGAATATGGTCTTTTGACCTTAAACTTCCATTAGGGGCATTGCACTCCTTTGTTGCAACCCATTAGCCTCCTAGCACTTGACCAAAAGTGTTTTCCTCGCGCTTAAATGTTATTACTTGTATAATTAGTGTTATAATCACTAATTATTTATATACATATGTTTTCATATGTAATTAGGATCATTGTGTGTGTCTAAGTCTCCACTTGACACCAAGCACTTGTCCGATCCTTCCGTACGATAACAGTCCGTTCAATTCCAGTCACTTACTGCAGGTGAGTTCATACCCCTTAACTAATGTTTTAAACTATTTTTAAATGTTTTATGGGGGGGGGATACAAGTAGAATCATGCTACTTATTATGTCAATCACATGTGATTAGTAAGTAGGATTATATTACTTATTACATCAATCACATGTGATTAATATACAGCATTCAAATGATTTGGCTACTCATTAGCCGTTTTACCAAACAGTTTCCTTCAAATGACTTTTTATAAACATTTTATATGTTTTAAACTCCTTTTTACACTGTACAGCTTACTCCGTACATTACCTTTCAAACTTATTTACAACTGTGTTTCAAACAAATGTTTCCTTATACTTAAACTGTTTTATTAAACTTATGCCTTCAAATTGTTTTATAGATTGACATCAAGTCGATCTTTTCTTAAAATAATACTTATATTTCAAATGTCTTACAAAACTTATTTATGCTTTTATATTATAAATGGCATGCCTCTATATGTATGGTTATATAAGAAATGTTTAAAAGACTTAGGAAGGCTATCCACCCTATTTCCTTTTCGCGCCTTGAGATGTGGTCTGGTGGGATATTGGGTATTCATCCGAAAGTCGTTTAAATATTAGTTATATATCATGTGTACATATATAGTCATAAAAGGTCCTTCCAGTTCATCCTATGCCCTTGGGTAGCAAGGGTATACATCCATGTCCATACGTACCACTTAGATTACTAGAAAGCTACCATATGGGTAGTTCAGGAAGATACTAGAACCATTACTAGAACGCGATATCATACAATGAGTCAGTTCATTCATGAGTCAATACTTTCTAGAACTTTTCAGTACATTACATATACAATTATACTAGGACGAGAACATATACAACTATACTAGGACGAGAACATATACAACTATACTAGAATGATTACATTACTATACTTGCTAGATAGAGAGAACACACATTACAGCTAGCACACGTAGAACATTACAGTACACTACTGTACTATTACATGATCGCTCTTACATGAGTACAATTACATGATCACACTTACATGAGTACACTTACATATACATAGAATAGACGTCACTAGGGGGGCTATAGCACGAAACCAGTTCAGGATCTAACTATACTGATGAATCACACCGCAATTGTGATAGTTATATCGAGTATACATGATCATTAGTAATGTGGATGCTCACGGCTTGCATTCAGGCAAAGGGTCGTGGGTAGGTCCCAAAATCCCTTTGATAGGGGAGCGTATAGTCTGGGATCTAGACATCACATTATACCTTATCCCTCAAATAAGACAGTTGAGTACCGATGTAGTTATTTACGTTAAATACTACAGTACTTGGAAGTATTACCCTAGATTTAAGGTAATAGGTACGGTTGTAGTTCTGCACTACACCATAGTACTGCATAGATTTTTCCATTACATATTTTTAGTGATAACCTCACTTAAACATTAATGTACAAACTATATTTTTAGATAATGATAGTTATACTTTGGAAAAATACATCCTCTTACAAGAGACACACACACACAGAACAATTAGGTCTTGGTAGAAGACACCTTCATATACTAGAAGGAATCATCGGGATTCTAGGGTTTTTCAAACACTTACAATTCATATACACTTACAAATTCTTACAATATATACACTTACAAATTCTTACAATATATAGACTTACAAATTCTTACATACAAATTAAGATACTAAATACTTATGATCTCACCAGCTTCAAAGTTGATACTCGCTTTCAAAATTACTTGTATCCTCAGGTCATCATAGATAGGTACCGATGCAAGGAGAAGGGAAGATGGAGCTTGTTCAAGACTTATCTTTCATTTTGATTTATGCTTTAGTGTTTATCAAAATTTGACAGAACATATTTGTATAATAATTAAATTATTAATGCAATGGATGATGTTGTTGCTTGTTTACTACTTTACATTGTTGTTGATATTATACATGACGTCCTCCGCCCCAGAACGTTTCCGCCGCTCCTGGTTTTGGGATGTGACAAAAATTCTCCTCCACTTGGATCAGACTTCGTCCTCGAATCTATTGTTGCGAATAACTCTGGATAATGATATCTTATCTCCGCCTTGGGTTCCTAAGTCCACTCGGAACCTTTCCAAAGCTGCCACTGGACCTTGACCAAAGCTACCACCTTGATGCGTAAGGCCTTCATCTTTCTATCCAAAATTACCACTAGCCTCTCAACATAATTCAGACAATCATCCACTTGAATATCATCCAAAGGAACCACTGCCAAATCATCTTCCACATACTTCCGAAGTTGCGAAACATGGAAGGTGTTGTGAATATGTTTGAGCTCCTTATGTAGATCCAATTGATAGACCACACTGCCTACCCTAGCCGATACATAACATACTGATGAATCGAGGCACCAACTTTCCCCTATTCCTGAAGCGTATTACACCCTTCCGGTGAAACTACAAAGTTGACTTGATGAAATTTTTACTTGAACTAGGTGTTACACCTTGTAGCCGTTGAAAAAGAAGCATAATGGTTAAGCAATTTGATTTATGAAATTCCTTTGTGGCCAACGCTTATATCACATATCTCTATACATTGTGATAATGCTGTCCACCTTAGAAAATGCATACATTAAAGTGTATAGTGGAAAGTCGTGACATTTGGATGTTAGGGACAATATGATACGTAAGCTTATTACTCATGGAATCATTTCTGTTGAGTTTGTTCGATCTTAATAGAATTTACTTGATCACTTGATAAATGAGTTAGCTAGAGACTTGGTAAGAAAGCCAATGATATGGATAGGTTTGAGACCCACTTGGCATCTTTATATGTGAGATACCCAATTCCTTTCTAATATAATGTTAGAAGTTGAAGTCAATGTGGAAATCTTGCTTATGGATATTGGAACACATTTATGTTACTACATCCCACTGTATATGCTTATAACCTATAGAGTTAAGGTAAGATGAATTAAGTTATTAATAGTTCGTTTGAAAAAAGTACATCAATAGGTGCATGATATAGAAGAACTACCTAAGTGAGTGTGAAGTGTTGCCGCTTCAGAAAGCTTGGGCTAGGCTTTTATGTACTCATGAATGGATAGGACACATGACTGTAATAGTGTCAAGTATGAAATATTAGAATCCGTGTAAAACTTATGTGTATAATATCTTCAGTTACTCAAATGAGTTGAAAGGTTCAATCGTTAGGACACTAATTCTCGAGTATTTGAAATGTGTATTATACTAATGTAAAAATTCAATCTTCAAGATATTTTCATTTATGTATGAGTTTGTTTTTAGTTAATAAATGATTAAACTAAAATGAGGGATGAATGTTGGTGATTTAGTGTTATCAACATATTTTAGTGTAATTATAATTACTATCGAGACATGTTGCATTCAGTTTACTATTCGAGCCTACAGGTGCTATGTGCACATTTAGAATGTTAAATGTGAACTCGGGTATATGGGGGTTCGGGGGCAGCGCCCATAGGTACGAGGTTAAAGGGAAACACCACGAAACACAAACACATTTCTATAATAGGAAATGGTCCGAACATATATTTCCCACTAAAAGCAGTTTATAACATCATGATGATGTAAGAATCAGTTTTGTCCTATAACCACCATTCAACCAACTAATTTTGGCACCAATTTGGTGTGTAACCACTTTTAACCACCTTATTCCTTGAATATGAATGTTCTAGAAAATGGTTAACAACTTTGATACCTAGAATTGATTCTTTGCATCTATTTGTCTAATTAAAAATACAAAACAATAATGTATTTTTCTGTGTTTCGAATTTGGAAGTAGTCTGAATTCTAAATTGTTATTATCGGATTATCTCAAATCAGATTTCGTCGTACCCTAGACTATAGGGTCGAAATCATAGATTTTAAAAAGTATTGCAATCACATTCCTAAAATCATCCAAAAATTATCCAAGTGAGTATTGATATTTTTAGACCCAAAATCTAACAATGTTGATAGTGTTACGTTTAGTAATTTGTTCACTTTAATCATATTGATATGTGTACATATGATAGAATTATTCCAAAGATCAGATTTATGTTCACATGATCCTATGTTCACATGACCCTATCGGTTAGTGTTATAATATGGATGGTGGTTCTATAACAACAAAATATATGACATTCATTATAATATTCCTAAATGTACGAGGCACATGATGATGCTTGATAAAAATATATAACAATGTATAAATTATGCACCAAATTGTAATATATTAATCATTTACATTTCTATTCACAACTACCGGAGCTTTTGGATTACACCATACAATAAGATAACATTTTTAATCAATTTAAATTTTAAATTTTAAATTTTTTAGCATTTAGATATTTTAATGTTCATTTTATAAATATTTTTATTTTTATAAAATAAAAAAAGTTGAACCAAATCTTAATGTATAGATGGGGCCGGGGGAGGATTTTTGTATCTTTTTGGGTTTATAATGATGACGCATCAACACGTGCATTCCATGACAATTCTCAGCTACACACAGACTCTGAGCCATCGCCATTTTTGTTCTTGTACTTCTTGGCCTCTTTCTCTTCTCTTTTGTAAGCCCCACAACCACTTTCGTGACTCCCCATGCTCCCCATCAGCCATTCACACCCCTAAAACCCCACTCTACACATAGGAATCTCGTGGAGATTCCCCCTTCAATCTTTCAGCCCTGTTGTGCTCCACCTTCATATACGTACAAATTTTTGTAGCTATTCAGCCTGTTCTCATGTATGAATGTCTATTTACACATCGGATTCACCGTCTGACGTGACCGAACTGCACATTTTGTGTAGAATTGGGAATCATCTGTTGGTCTCTGTCTCTCGCACTTTATAGTAAGTTTCAGCTCTCTATCCGATTGATTTTCTCTTTTACGACGTGGGTTTTTGTTATGGATTTGAATTATCCGATCTTGATTGTGTGTGCTGTCATGCGTTTATTTTTCGTTGTTGATCGATTGTAAGTCCGATTCTTCAAAAGCATGTCGGACGGAAGGTTTTGATCGGAATGCGTTAGTCACTAGTATGTTTACTCATTTATGTACAATTTTGATCAAATTTTCCATAATTTTCTCTTTTTAGACGTTGATTTTAATGGATTTAAAGTTTCCTGATCTGGATTTTGTGTTTTGTTATGCGTTTCTTTTTTCTACGTTCGATTCTTTGTTGATCGATTATAAGTTCATTTCTGCAACAAATCGGCGAGGGTTAAGGGTTTTGGACGGAATGCATTAGTCACTTGTACTGTACTCATTCGTGTTTCATATGATCGAATCATCAGTAATCTTCTTTTGTTTTTGACGTTAATTTTGATGAATTTGAAGCTTCCCACTCTGGATTGTGTTTTGTCATTCTTCTTCATCCGATCTCTGTTAGTGTCACGTTTTTCAGAACGGCATTAATGTCAATTTTGATCAAGAATCCAACAATTTTCTCTCTCTTTGATATTAATTTTGATGGATTCGAATTTTCTCGATCTGGGTTTTGTTGGGTTTGTTTTCCTTGATTCGGATGTTTTCGTAATTCATAGGAATTCTATTTTATATTTCTTCAACTGCCATTAATCGAAACAATTCTTTCCTCTTGATTAATTTTAATTATAGTATCTTCACATAAATTAAATGGTATGGGTGTTGAGTCTTGATTTATTTTCAGTACTATGCATTCAGTTATCAGTGGTACTGTGTGCTAATTTGGTGATACGCTGGCAATACTTGACTCTGAAAGAACCCTAAAGGTACCATTTTTTTGGGGGCCCATTTAAGGTTGTGTGTTTATCTAACTATGGGGTAGTAAAAGTACTTGTAATAATGAATTTGAGGGTTAAATCTATATGATTGTACACTGAGTTTTACGCATAAATAATTGAGACCCTTTTAAGTAGACTTTGAGGCATGTTATGCACTTAAGTGTATGCAGTACTGCAATCTTTTCTGTAGAGTAATTTGAATGTTATACTTTTTGTCATCAACATGAGTGATGAAATACTTCTGCAATTTGTGAATATGATCGAACAAATAGGTCCTTAATATCAATGTATTTCCAATTTATTATGTGAGCATCACACGGGTTATACATTTTCAATGGCTTGTGGTAGTGTCAACTTTTTTGTGTACTAATTTAAAAACATTCAGTTAGACAATGTGTTCAATGAAATCTCTATTTTTTTTAATAAAATCGAATGACATCTTGAATCTTGATGTGTTTTCAACTTACAATTTGAAAGCAGTGTCAAATAACCCTTTTGAAGAAACATGAAAGTTAGGCATGTCACACATTTTACCTTGTAGTAGTTAAGAACATTCAAACATTTTCATCCACAACGTGTTTGATAAAATGCCTCAACCAAAATGCAGATAACTAAACTTTTCAAGATCATTATCACATCCAAGAATGTCTACAGCGTCAGCTGATTTGGCGCAAAACAACGATAATGTGAAAAGTAGTGATTGTGAAAATGATTTTGATTTCTCAAAGCTGCCACATAAGCCAAGAAACTTGAATATGGAGAGACAAAGATCTTTTGATGAGAGATCACTTGTTGAAGCATCACCTCGATACACACCATGGGCAGAAAATGGGCAAAGACATATAGACAATGAGAGTGTTTTTTCACCAAGTAGAAGATCATCCTTCAATACACCTAGATCACTTTATGGGTTTGAACCACACCCAATGTTTGCTGAAGCTTGGGAGTCTTTGAGGAAAACCATGGTGTACTTTCGTGGTAGACCAGTTGGGACTATTGCAGCTCTTGATAATTCTGATGAGAAATTAAATTATGATCAGGTATGCTTTGTTGTTCTTCATGGTAGTTAGTTTAAGCCAATCTTGTAGGGTGTTATAGGACATGAATTAGCTTAAATCAAGGCCTTAGGGTTGTATTTGTTACTAAGGATGAGACTTGACAAACTTTTTATGGTTATTTTTTTGGTGTTGAGGATGAGGAGGGCGTTTTTGTCTTTTGCACAGGTGAGAGGTCGAGGGAAAGTCCCTGTCCGACCTTGTTCAATCTTTTTGGTTTTGACAAAAAAATGTGTCAGTGTCAGTGGTGAACTAAAAAAAGCAGGACCTGAATTGTTAAGATTTGAATTTTTAAGAGGTCTGAATTTTTAGCATGTTGTTTGGTTAGAACCTTTGAATTGTTGTGTTGAATGATAAAGATGACCACTTTACCCTTTTGTGACAATTTAGGACAATAGGAAAAGGGAAAGAACAATTTGAGAAACTGAAAGTTAACACTTCAAGTGATATTGAGGACTCATGTTTAGATAATTTTGCTTAAACTTGGATATATGTAGTTGATATAATTATAAAAGTACAAGTATAAGATTAACAAATCGGTATATGCCAATGAATAATGTGAAAGTAGGAGAAAGTTTCTTTTATCCATTTTCCCACATATAGAAGTTTTCCACTTTTTAAATCCCCATGTTTTGAATATTGTGAACAACTTTCTTCTTGTATAGGTTTTTGTGAGAGATTTTGTTCCAAGTGCATTAGCTTTCTTGATGAATGGAGAACCCGAAATTGTCAAAAACTTTCTTCTAAAGACTCTTCGCCTTCAATCATGGGAGAAAAAAATCGATAGATTTCAACTAGGGGAAGGTGTCATGCCTGCAAGTTTCAAAGTTCTTCATGATCCGATTCGCAACACAGAGACTTTAATGGCGGATTTTGGTGAGAGTGCAATAGGCCGAGTTGCCCCGGTTGACTCAGGGTTTTGGTGGATCATATTGCTTAGAGCTTATACAAAATCAACTGGAGATAGTTCTTTAGCTGAAACACCTGATTGCCAAAAGGGTATGAGGTTGATTCTTGCATTATGTCTTTCAGAAGGTTTTGATACTTTTCCTACTCTTCTTTGTGCTGATGGATGCTCCATGATTGATCGAAGAATGGTGAGTTTGTAAATATTTTCAATTTTTTATTTTTTTTTTGTCTTATTAAGTATGTTAAAAACATAAGCATATTCACTTTTATATATGTAAGGTTGTACTTTAATCACTGTACATTTTTTGAGAGGCTAAAAAACTGTTTTCTCATTATGTGGTTGTCATATCATGGCAAAGTACAAAAAAGCATATTGTACTTTCATCATTTTATTGATTTAGCCATTGATCCAATGATTAAATTTAAATGGTGAAAAAAATATAGTATAATGGTTAAACTGATAAAATGTTAACATATTTTCATTTATATATACAGGGTGTATACGGATACCCAATAGAAATACAAGCTCTTTTCTTCATGGCATTAAGATGTGCTTTAGTTTTACTCAAACAAGATGCTCAAGGAAAAGAACTTATTGATCGAATCACAAAACGTCTTCATGCCTTGAGTTTTCACATGAGAAGCTACTTTTGGTTGGATTTAAAGCAACTAAATGACATTTATCGTTACAAAACCGAAGAGTATTCTCACACTGCAGTGAATAAGTTCAATGTGATACCCGATTCACTTCCTGAATGGGTTTTTGACTTCATGCCAACTTTTGGAGGATACTTTCTTGGAAACGTGGGGCCCTCAAACATGGATTTCAGGTGGTTTTGTTTGGGGAATTGCATTGCTATTCTTTCATCTTTAGCAACTCCAGAACAATCAATGGCAATTATGGATCTTATTGAAGCAAGATGGGAAGAGTTGGTTGGAGATATGCCTTTGAAAGTTTGTTATCCAGCTATTGAAAGCCATGATTGGAGGATTATTACAGGATGTGATCCCAAGAACACAAGATGGAGTTACCATAATGGTGGATCTTGGCCAGGTATGTTGTACAATTTGTCTTTGTTTATGTGTTTTTGTTTATCGATTTAGTGATTGAAATGTTATCTTTTTATTGATTGTTAGGTCACTCCTCTTCTAATTGTACAAATCGAATCAAATGAGTGGATTTAAAGTTTATTGATTTGGTGTGTACCTTAATATGGAAATTAACCCTTATTAATCTCCATAGAAAATAGTTAAATACTTAAATTGATAAAATGGTGAAAGTACAACTGATTTTCTTTATGTTTCCCTTGGAATAGTACTTTCTCTGTGTTTGACTTCTGGAAGTCAAAGCTAGTAATTTAAATTGTTGGATTGATGCTCATATTTTAGTCTTTTAGATACAAAAATTTATTCCTAAACTACATTATCTATTTTTTTTTTCATCATAGTTCACCTTCCAAACTCATATGCTCATGATAATGTTAATTTGCATAAAATAACAATGTACTTTAGTCCTTTTACCAATATAGGCACTACACAAATTTTTAACAATGTAATTAGATTTTTTTACCCATAATAATAACATACTTATATCTTTTTTATTTTTTTATTATTATTTTTTTTACCAATAATAGCAAATTTGTGACTCACAATAACAACACACTTATAGTTTTTATTTTTACCCATAATGTAACCAATTTTTACATTTCTTTATTACACATAATTAACAATGTACTCATAAAGGTAGCAAAATATAAATACATTGCTGTTTTGAGTAAAAAAATTGATAAAAATAAAAGTACGTTGCTATTTTGAGTAAAAAAATATAAATCTTCTGATGATTTTTTTTTTGGGTGCAGTCCTCTTATGGTTGCTCACGGCGGCATGTATCAAGGTGGGCCGCCCCCAAATTGCAAGGCGGGCCATTGAGGTGGCGGAGCTCCGGCTGGCGAAAGACGGGTGGCCGGAATATTATGATGGAAAGAGCGGCCGATATGTTGGAAAACAGGCTCGAAAGCATCAAACATGGTCAGTTGCTGGTTATTTGGTGGCCAAAATGATGCTTGAAGATCCTTCACATTTAGGTATGATATCACTTGAAGAAGATAGACAGATGATGAAACCCGCTGTGAAAAGATCATCCTCTTGGACTTGTTGATGTCAATTTTTCCGTATTTTTATCGTATTTGTAAGATTCCGGGTACTTTCGTTAGGGTTTGTGTAGACATGGGGATTTCAGGTTTTAGATTTTTCGGTAGAGAATTTGATTGTGGTTTGTAGAACTAGAAATAGATGCAAAACTTATTCGTCTTGGTTCGTTTAAGAAGTCTAATTTAGGAAATACGTTGCAAGTTCATTTGCTTATGGTATCGTTCGTGAGCATCCAAGTTTTTAGAATTATAGAAGGGTCAATCACTACGGTCACCAAATTGGGAGGAGTGAAAACACAAAATGAACACCTTTTGCGAAGTATCAATTTTTTTTTTCTTAAAAGGTGATTGTTTTGTGTTTTTGACACCCTCCCATTTTGGTCATTTTAGTGATTAACTCTATTATAACACATGATTTTTGGATGTTTGAGTTATAATTCTATCTATATTCTATGCAGATAGAGTAATAGAATTAGTTTGTTAAATATGAATGCGTGCATGTGATTCGAACATGATTGCATCATACCAGAAGGGAAACGAAGCATTATATAGTCGATAGAGATAACGACACTAGCGAGTATTTATCTAATGGTATTGTGTCTCCTACGTATGTGTAGAGACTTACCATTATTTGGGAATAGATTTAATAATAGGAAATAATTTTCTTAAATTATATCAGCCATTTATACAAACAAATGATTGTATAAGTTTCAATCACCTGACAAAAAGTGTTACAAAAACTGCAATTATCAAACATTTTGATATTATTAAAATAATTAAACAAGAAGTTGGTTTTCAATTACGTATATTACTAACGTTTGCTAAAGAATTGCTGAAAAACAACTTGAAGACGTATGCAGTGAAAACCCACTAGATCATTTAAAAAATAGAAATAATCAAGAAATAATAATATTGTTAAAAAATCATGATGATGATGTCAATGTCCCAAACAAAATTCCATATAGTATAAAAGATGTTTCAGAATTTAAACAAGAATGTACTGAATTACTAGAAAAAGGAATCATTTGACCTAGTACGAGTCCTTATTCTGCACCTGCATTCTATGTATAAAATAATAATAAAATAAAACGAGGTAAGAGAAGGATGGTAATTAATTACAAAAAGATGAATGATGCTACTATTGGAGACTCATATAAATTACCACAGAAAGAATATATTTTGGAAAAATTAAAAGGAAATACACATTTTAGTACGTTTGATGCAAAATCCGGATATTGGCAATTACACTTACATAAAAATACGAAACCACCAATTGGTTTTTCATGTCCTCCTCAGAAGCATTATGAATGCAATGTCCTTCCATTTAGTTTAAAGCAGGTACCAGCAATATATCAACGATTCATAGATGAAACCTTAAATGGTTTAGATCATCTTTGTCTTGCATACATTGAAGATATAATTGTTTTTACAAAAGGAAATGAACAAACACATATGGATGCAATTATCAAAGTTTTACATAGAATCAAAGAAAAATATTTAGTTTTATCAAAAAAGAAATCAAAACATTTTCCAACTACAGTTGAATATCTTGGTTTAAAAATTGGAGAAAATTGTCAACTATCTTTAACAGACAACATACGAGAAAAAATAAATATGTTTCCTGATAAACTTGAAAATAGAAAACAAATACAATGATTTCTTGGATGTTTAACCTATATTGAAGAACAAGGATTTTTGAAAAATTTAGCAAAAGAAAGAAAAGTTTTACAAAAGAAAATATTAGAAAAAATACATTGGTCTTGGACCAATACAGATACTATTTTGGTACAAAATATAAAACAAAAAATTCAAGTTCTCCCTACTTTATATAATGCAAAAATCAACGATTTTTTAATTGTCGAAACGATTTCCATCACAAGACACTTAGGCAGTATGCCTAAAAGCAATTATACATGGAAAATTATTATTGAGATTAGATAATGAGGGAAACCTTATATCTGACCCACTAAAAGTATACAATGATAAAACATACATTGATAAAGTATACAGTAGTATGAAAATACCATCCGAAACATACAATAATGAAGTACACATCGATATGAAAAATATCATAAAAAGCATACAATGATACAGATGTATCATCTGAAGTATTAAAAACAGATAAATATGAGCCAAAATTATGCAAGTATATATCGGGAACATTTTCCCAAACAAAACAAAATTGTAGTACACATGAACCAGAAACACTAGCATGTCTCAAAACATTGATGAAATGGAAAGTAGAGCTACTACAAACTAGATTCGAGTTACGAACCGATTCCAAGTATCTACTTGGCTTTTGGCGTTATAAATTACAAGAAGATTATTGTCGTGGGCGATTGATTCGTTGGCAATTACGATTACACCAATTTCATCCATATCTCAGATACATCAAAAGCACCAACAATCATATAGCAGATACATTAAGGAGAGAATGGAAGCCATCGTGAAGCAACAACAACAACAGTTCAAACAAGAACAAAAATGAAAGAAAGACCATTCATGGGGGATTAACGTTAGCCATGACATAAGCAAACATTATTCAGAAATATCTATCCTTTCGGAGGCGGGAGGAATGACGCACGCAATGATGCATTACTCCATTATTATTGAAAACATTATTGAAGACAGTCAGACACGTGTCTTTTTGATTTGGAAGGATGTAATTTATAATTTGTATCTTATTTGTATTAGTTGGTTTTTTCGTTATCGGTAGAATAAGTGTCATGTGTCGATAGGTTATATGTCATCTATCGAATATGACGTATAGTTTAAAAGTGATATCTAGAATAGGACATAATGTTAGTAAGATGTGAGATAAAGTGTGTAACCCTCAATAGTCTAGTAGGCTATATTGTAAATGTGTTGTCGTATTGCAATCATACGATTGCAATTCAATTATATAATCGGCTCTCTTGAGCCTATAAATAGGGCCTTTGCCCATATAAAATAAACAAGTTAAGTTTGAGAGTTTTTAGACTTTAGTTGATCTCAAAGTTCTTCCTCTATTGAAATAGTTATTCTATTTCTGAATAGCAGAGCGTCTATCCAAATTATCCAAAACCATCCATATAATCATTCATCTAGAATAGGACATAATGTTAGTAAGATGTGAGATAAAGTGTGTAACCCTCAATAGTCTAGTAGGCTATATTGTAAATGTGTTGTCGTATTGCAATCATACGATTGCAATTCAATTATATAATCGGCTCTCTTGAGCCTATAAATAGGGCCTTTGCCCATATGAAATAAACAAGTTAAGTTTGAGAGTTTTTAGACTTTAGTTGATCTCAAAGTTCTTCATCTATTGAAATAGTTATTCTATTTCTGAATAGCAGAGCGTCTATCCAAATTATCCAAAACCATCCATATAATCATTCATATACCCAACATAATCCATCATCAAGATTATTCCGACGCATAATTCAGGTATAATCACCCATTTTTATCATTATAATCGTCGTTAATATTATGCCGAAAATTACCCAACATAATCCATCATCAAGATTATTCCGATGCATCATTCAAGAATCAAGTATAACCATCCACTATTATCGTTATAATCGCCGATAATATTATGTCGAAAACTTTAGTATCAAAGCTAAGTTTCGTTCTCATCATTTTTATTATAAATATAAGTATTCATCCGCTCGTTCATAAGAAAAAAATATTCATCATGCATCATTATAAATGTTATTACATTCATGCATATCATTTGTCATACTCATCATAAAAAATAGTAGATATAATAAACTTCACTATTATTTTTAAAGCTATAAACTATTAAATATGTCTCAAAAAATAGAAAATTCACCAATAATTATTAACAATGAAGAAAATGAATATGGATATACTTTTGATGCGTTAATTAATAAAATTAATATAAATAAAGATGCTATAAGAAAATCAAATTTTACACTATCTAAAAAACATAAGTTTAGAAATAACACATTAAAAAACTTTTTTTCTAGAAAAAATATTATATATTATGGAAAAATTATAGGAGAAGAACCAATACCCATTGAATGAACTCAAGGAAATGTTGTTGTACCTATAATAAATAAACAACAAATTAGAAATAGATTATCTAATATTAAAAGGAGTAGATAGAATAAAAATTGCTTATATTCATATATCAACTATTCAAGTAATTTTAAAAAGTACTTTTAGTAATTTAGATACACCATTAGAATTGGAAATTAGAGATGCTCGTATAATTAATAATCAAGAAAGTATTATTGCAAAAGAAAAATGTAATTTAACTGAAGGAAAAATAAAATTTGACATTAATATTCAACTAAGATTAAGTCTTAAAGATAAAAATCTAAATAATAGTATTACCGTACAATATAAATTATTAAGACAAAATTTTATGTTAAAAGGTAATCATCCATTTACTATTATATATCAAATAAATTATGCATTAACAAACTCTCATAATAGTATTACGTTTAAAACATATGATAGAATTTATATCGATAAATTATTTACCCCTTTATTATCACTTGAATCACCAAATATGATTAATAATAGAATTTTTAGTGAAACTAATTTTCAATCAATAATAACTACTTCGTTAATAAAAAGAAACCCAATTATAGAACCTCCAATTTTTAGTATTGCCTTCGGTTATTTTGTGTGGATGAGGCTGGAGCATGTGGTGTGGTGATAGCTTGAGTAGCAACATGGACAGTCACAGTTTGTTGTTTCTTTGATGATTCAAAATTTTGTTTTCCTTTCCGCTTGTTGTTTTCCCCCTTCTTGTTCTCCCCTTCTTTCTTAACTTCCGCTTCTCCTATTTTGGCTCCCCTTTTGTTGCCATTATCATACAATTTCTTGGCTAGCCTCTTTGCGCTATCATACGTGGTCGGGTTTGATGCAATTACATTTCCTTGGATTGGCGTGGTCAATCCCCAGATAAATCTCTCGATCTTCTTCCCTTCAGATGTGATCATTCCGGGACACAAAAGAGACAACTTACTAAACCTTGTTATGTACACATCAATGTTAGAGTTTTGAACCGTGAGGTTGCACAGTTCTTGTTCAAATTTCTAAATTTCTCCCCTGGGACAGTACTCAGCTAACAACATCTCCTTAAGTTCCTCCGATGGTATCGCGTTCGCCACCGGGAGTGTCATGGACTCTATGTGACCATTCCACCAGGAGAGGGCTTGATCAACGAACGTGCATGCCGCAAACTTGACCTTAGACTCATCCGAACATCTGCAAATTTCAAACACTGATTCCACCTTCTTAATCCATTGTTTTAGGGTTATTACGCCTCCTATCCCGTTGAAGGTCCGAGGCTTGGCGTTGGTGAAA